ATATATATATATATATATATATATATATATATATATATATATATATATATATATATATATATATATATATATATATATATATATATATATATATATATAAGGTATTTAATATATATATATATATATATATATATATAAGGTATTTCATTATCCAAGGCGCTTACCAAACTGCATACTCAACGCAAACAATGCAGACGCTGTTCCTGAATCTTTCTTCGACACAATTGCAATAAGAGTCCCAAGACCTGCTCTCACCTATACTTTGATCTTTCACCTATACCTTGATGTGATGTGTTTATGTGCCATCGCACAGTCATAGCCACCGGCCACTGTGTTCACGCTCATATCTCTTGGTACTGTAGTTTATGCTCTGTCGTCTTACAGTTCACACCCGCTCATAACCTGAACCACTTGGAACGGTATTGTCTCTATTGCCGCACTCGTGAGACCTAACTCTATGGTACGTATATACGACAAACGTATCACTGCACATTCTATCAGTGTACGTTCTCCTACAAGCTACAGACGGGTCACTGCACATTCTATCAGTTTACGTTCCCCTACAAGCTAAAAACGTATCACTGCACATTCTATCAGTGTACGTTCCCCTACAAGCTACAAACGTATCACTGCACATTCACCTTGAAGCTACAAACGTATTACTTTAATCTCACCTTGAGCGCTATTGGATTGGATGGCGGCTTCATACTGCAGGTGGTTGAGATGTTACTACAGATGTACTCGGACAATGACCAGCCCACCCCCCCACAGGACACTCTCGCATGTCTGTGCAGCAGTGCCGAGTCGAATGGCTCACCCAAAGCCGAGCCGTTGAATGGCTGTAAGTTAATCTCTTAGACACGAGGTTTTACTTTCCATTTAAAACGGATTGTGTTGTGATGTGTATGGTAGTTGAAGTTTGCAACCTGCTACACCAGATGTAGTTTAGGGTACTGCACCCTGAGTTATGTAATGAAATTTAAAGGAGTCCATCTGACGCTGAAACACAATTACATACCTCTGCCTCATACCTTTATTGGCGACATATGGAAGATAGCCCGTACGAGCTTATTTCCTATATCTGGCTCTATATACTGAAAGCTCTTTATCTTACACTCCCATGCCTCTATTTGCTGAAAGCTCCTTCTCTTACACTCTCATGTCTCTATATGCTGAAAGCTCCTTCTCTTTCACTCTCATGTCTCTATATGCTGAAAGCTCCTTCTCTTTCACTCTCATGCCTCTATATGCTGAAAGCTCCTTCTCTTACACTCTCATGCCTCTATGAAAGCTTTTCATCTTACACTCTCATGCCTCTATATGCTGAAAGCTCTTTATCTTGCACTCCCATGCTTGCACATCATAATCTTGACTCTCCCTATATGTACAGCCTCGAACTACGAAGCTTTTCCCGTCGACGCTGCTGAGGACCTCCTAGTCTTCTCACCACTTAGTCGCCAGCTACGCAGCCAAACACAGCCCTCAGCAACAAGCACACACCCCACACCAGACACACCCAACCACACCAACACCAACACTACAGCCACAGCCACAGCCACAGCCACAGCCACAGCCACGCCTGTCCCGTGCCAACGTGTGCAGTACAGGAATGCAGTTGACACGGCTCTAGGTCTGGAGGTGTGTGCGTGTGGGGGTGTTGGAGGTTCATTGTGCGCCCCGCCAAACGGCGATGAGAAGATGGACAGCCCCATCAACGCCGTCAGGCGACGGGTGCGCGCGCTGTCATCGTCGCTCAGGGATGCGGTTGCCATGGCAACCCCGCACCCGGTAAGTGCGGGTGACTGTGTTAGTCCACAGAGAATCGCAGTGTGTTGATTGCTAGTCGTCACGTAGGCAGAGTTCGTGTGTGCCTGATCGCCTGCAAGAGTTCGGTACTACTGCACACTCACATACTTCTGTCAACCCCCACCACAGGGCATCTCACTCCCAGTAACACCGATAATGGGATCCAAATTCAGTCGAGGGCGATCGAGAGCAAACACTCTCACTGCGTTCACGGGCCCCTCCACACCGTTGCTCAAGCCTCCAGGTAGGTAGAGTGTCTATGGTAGGTAGCGTGTCCGAAGGTGGAGTGTCCATGGTAGGTGGAGTGTCTATGGTAGGTAGAGTGTCCGTAGGTGGAGTGTCCATGGTAGGTGGAGTGTCCATGGTAGGTAGAGTGTCCATAGTAGGTAGTGTGACCATGGTAGGCGGAGTGTCCATGGTAGGCAGAGTGTCCATGGTAGGTAGAGTGTCCATGGTAGGTGGAGTGTCCATGATAGGTAGAGTGTCCATGGTAGGTGGAGTGTCCATGGTAGGTGGAGTGTCCAAAGGACCATTCGCGTGATGGCGTAGGTGTGGTTTTAACACAGTCACTTTAGGGTTTAATGTTTCTGGGCATAGCCGTTGGCATAGATCCAAGCCAAGCTGTACGACAGCGCACGGCAGGCATTGCCTATCGCCAGCAGTTCTGAAGTACCGCACTTTATCGCTTACCGCTGACCGTACCATTCGCCAACACCATCAACCACTGCAGCCCATTGGGGATACCACTTCCTGCAGTTATTAATATCTCCGATCAGGTTACATGCGAACACATAGGCGTGACTAGTTCATAGTCCCACGTGAACCCCTGCGTACACAGAAACAGTAGTCTCACCCAATCACTCAACCTCTATGCAGGACCGGCCCCTTCCAAGGCCGGTAACACAACCAAGAGCAGTCCATCCTCGGCATCTCAGCCCCGCGGGGTGACCGTAACACCTCAGATATATCAGACGAATCCGACAAACCAGACTAAACCGACAACGTTGGCGCCTGCACCCTCTCTGGCACCTGGGGTCATTGGCAGTCGACGTAGGCCGGGTGCACTCTCCGACAGCATGCTCTCAAGCACCGCCGCGTTCGGACGCACACACACCTACACCCACCCACACACCAGCAGCTTTATCGAGGTCACTGCTAGCGAGACCCACACCCACCCACACACTAACAGCTTCGCCGAAGACGACGCTGGTGAGGTGGATAGTACTGGCGACAGCCTTGAAGCCCTGGAAGGGGACAGGGACCACTTCGGCGCAGCCAATGCTCACAAGTTCAAGTTCATGTTTGGCCGCGGCAGTAGGCGCAGTAGCAGTGCGTGTCACATCCCCGCAGTCACGCTGCGGAAGAACGGCTCGCTGACCCGCCCAACCGCATCGTCTAATCGAGAGCTGCGCACGCGTACAGAGATATATGAACCCATTCTCACGCGAGAGTATGTGTCGTCGCCAATACCAGCGAGTCCGACGACGCCGCTGCATGCACGCGCACGTGCGGATGCGCTGACGCTCACCGCCGCACGCGATAGCAAACGCCACGCAGCCGATGCGATGAAGCGCCACAGCGTGAGTTATGACAGGGTACAGTCGGAGGACAACTGTTTGGCACGGGGCGATGAGACCGACACAAGCGTACACTGCAGGAGAGACAAGGAAGAGAAGGCCAGCGCACACGTCAGAAGGGGTGGCAAGGCAGCAGATGACAGGCAAGACGAGACGGACCAGATACGAACGGACGGCAAACACCTGTCGGCGGGTGAGAGGGTGGACAACACGCACCTGCTGTCTACGGAGGAGCTGCAGCGGTTTGCCCAGAAACGGCGCAAGTCTGATCACGGGACGCGCCACACCCCCCTACACTCACCCAAGACCATTCACCTGCCCAAGCCACACTTTCATCTGCCGCACGTACTCTCACCGAGCCATGCACACAAGCACAAGAAGCACGAGCAGATGGCCCGACTGAGCCTCAGTACGGCCTCTCAGCCGTTGCAAGCGCCAGCAGACACCCCGGAGACCACCATGGCGACCAAGTCCCATTCCGAGCCCATCCACAGCACATTTGGACAGGACGAGCTCTCTACGGTGTGGTCGCTCAACGACTTGTCTGACGAGGGCTCCACCGACATCCTGTGTGAACGGGTGGGTTGGATGGTATAGCGTTGGGTGGTGTAGCGTTGGGTGTTGTGTGGCTTGGAGAGTGGTGTGGTTGCTTTGCTTGCTGCGTAGGATAGTCTGGTACTACCACCCGTACGCTGAGACACCTGCGCTAACTGGTATCCGTCGTTTTTATGTGGTCTAGGGTTCAGGGTTTTAGGCCTGGGCACTTCACCGCGCATTCACTCACTCTCCCTTTCTATTGCTGCTCTCCGTGCTATGGCTACCCTTGTTGTGCCTACCTACAGGTCCCATCCCTAGAGCTCAAGGACCGCAAAAAGAGCACGCACGCCCTTCCGCACCATCGCCATGTGCGCTGCGAAAGCAGCGACAAACACGCGAGCATCTCATGCGACGACATCTTATCACACGACTCGCCGACCGTTCCGTCGCCCCACCACTCGTGGTCAGCCAAGCAGTGGAGTGTCCCTACAGACCAGCTCAACGGCTACTCCTCCTGTAAGTGGCGCTCGAGGTGGGGATGTGTAGCTGTGTGCATTAGACTGTCTTGTGTATGAATGCGTCGGAGGCTTGGGACTGTTGTCATGTGCATGATATGTGTGCGTGCCTCTGCTTCTCACACGTGCTGTATGTCTGGTGGCACCCTTGACCATGCCTGTGCATTGGGTCGTATGAACTATTACGTGGGCTGTGGGTCAACGGTTAGACTAAACTTAAGCTTCACATCTCATGTACCAGCAGAACGTCATCTCCGCTTGTGTGTGTGTCATACACGCCAGTCACACAAAACGTTACGTTGAGTTACTGGACAGCTTGATCATTTGTCTGGTTACACAAGGCGTCTCACCTCACTGCCACCTTATCACTCGCTAACGTATTCTTCTCTGCAGCGCCAATGCTTGACGATGACAGTACATACCAAACACAGCTCACGAGTGCTGACAGCAACCACCTGACACACTCTGGCCCACGCATGCTCAGGTCAACATCGGCCTCAGAACTATTGGCCACGGAACGACGGAAACATAAAGACAAACACACACACACGAACACACACACATACACACGCAAACACACCTCAATGCACACGATCAAGCGAGTGCTCTCGAGTGGCAATGGGAGGTACGTCACCAGAAGGAGCGTGCACCCCATCGATGAAACACGCAGCTGTGAGGTGCTGGCAGGCATCAGGGATAACAATAGCACACACACACACGTACAATCACAGACCACTGCCACGCACAGCCCAGCTGAGGAACCAGTCCATCAGGTGCAACCCACTGCACCGAGTCCCCTACCTCCGTATATAGGACAAGACTCGAGGCAGGACAAACCACGCACCACATCACAGCAGGAGAACCTACTGCCACAGGGAGTGGTTAGTGATGAGAGGACTGGCCCAGGCGTATACCAAGAGGCAGTACAGGAGGACAGGGAGTGTACTGATCCACCGGTGGCACTGGACATGTGGGCCGGAGGGTTGGCGCGGAAGAAAGTTCGGAACAATATCCTCACTGTTCTCGTGCGATGGTGCGATGAGGAGGAGGTGTGTTATTATATTATCTGTACCACACGCACCGTAAACCTAAACCCTAAAACCCTAAGTCCTACTCACCACATGTCTACCACTCACTGTAAACAAATATATAACTCAACACATATCTACTACTACATCCACTGGAAATAGAGGATGTAATCCGCGTATGTTGTATTTTATGACTTGCATAGTATAGCAGTGTCATGCATGGTGCAAGTGGTTACCTCTTAGTGTCTACTGAAGAGTGTACTCGCCTGTATCGTGAATACCTTTCCCGTGAGTATCTACGCTCACATGCGCGCGTGATAGGTTAGTGAGCTAAGTCGATTGCTCACTACCATAAGCCCGAGCGTGCGAGTCTGGCTGATGTAGTTTTGTTCTCTCGTTAACTCTTTGGTACTGACTCTGTTGGTCTGTCTACTGCAGTACGGCAGCAACCGTCTGAACGACCCCAATGCGTTCAAACGCATTCTCGACTGCTATGTGGCCCATCTCGAGATGAAATCGCACAACGAGGAGAAGCACATGTTACACGATAGAGGTGTGTGTACATCGCCAGCTAAGGGAGTAAGAAGTTCTATGCATGCTCTGTGTTATTGAGGTTCCGTAGCAAGTGCAATAACTGGGGTGATGTGATCAACTGTGACCTTTACTGCACTCTCGTGAGGTGGACAGTACAAGTACTATATTTATAT